CGGTAGGTATTTGTTTGCTTCTTACTTCAGTGCAAAGGTTTTTGGTTCTAAAATAACAAAGTTGCAATTTGAAACTAAACCAATTACAAACAATTTCAGGTAATCGAATCCTCGTTATGCCCGATGTGCCAAAAGAGCGTGCCTATGCCGAACGATATAAAAATATTGGGATTATATTCAATGTACTCAAGTGCGCTTTGATTGGAGCTTACGTACCGTTTGGTGAGTTGAGAAGGTGATAATGCTTTTCTCCTCACGGAATCTTAATTGAGCGTTTCAGGAGTTTTCCGACTATATGGTGATCCATGTCTTCAAGATTCTTTGAACATGTTCGTGAAGCTGTTCATGAAGATCCCCGAGGAAGATTTCCACGTGAGTTTGGCACTCTGCCCCAACTTCACAAGGTGCATTTCATAGTTGAGGTCATCCATTATGGGTCAAAGGCAATACAGATAAAGGTTTCTCAGTAGTTCATTATCTAGGGAAGCTTATTATCAATGATTCAAATTCTTCTCAAAGTGCATCCCGATTGTTTGGAATGTCGGATTGCTTCGCCATTGTTAGCAATGTGACCTCCTACAAAGTTTCTTCGAGTCCATGGCTACGCCATGTGCTTCTATGCCTCAAAAGTTGGACTGAAGTCTAGCCAAAGACAATGAGATCTATCAAAAGAATTCTTCGATCTATGAATCATGCTTTCAGTCCTACACAAAGATTGCTCAACACTATTATAATCTCTTGGAGAATGTGGTTCAAGACAACATTGCCTTTGTTTCCAATCTTCAACCCGAAGTCTTTGCGGCTATTCTGCGATCGGTGCACACCGGAGTGACGTCGTTAGGTAAGCGATTCCTCTCCAATGAAAAACCATGTGTAGGAGTTGCTGTTATATAGTAGTTATATTTTCAATGTTTCTATATCCACCTTTCATATTTGTCATAATTTCTTTCAGATGCCGTTGTCATAACATCTGCATGTTCGGCGTTAGATACAATTTTGAATTATCTGTACAAGAGGTTCACAAGATCACCACATCCAGTAGCCAAGGTTTGCAGTGTTTATTTATACATCTCTATTTGTTATAGTAACGATTTTGGGGATGCAGTGATATGCAACGTCGCTTTCCACGATCACGATCTGGATATCGAATTCCTATTCGAGTTTCGCATAGGCGAACCTAACTTTTCATATCCCTAGGGTAAGATTTAATAATACGTGCTTGGAAGGGGGATTTTGCGCCATTCATCTTGGGGAAATATTTATAGGGCTATCCATAATTAGGTTACAGATGGATTGCTGAAGAAGACTTCTTTTACCTTTTTATAGTCTTCAGACAGAGCAGGTAGCTCAAGTTGCATTAAAAACCTATAATAAGCTTA